TAACTAGTGCATTTAATAACCCTGAAAATAATTCAGAGATATTTTAGGTAGCAGTTCTAATCAAATTTATTATGATTAGAATATTTTCATGCATATCAAATTGAAATTTGCAGTTTTTACATTTATTTACAATTTAGGTAAAAAGTTTAAAAATATCATATTATTTATAATTTAAATCCTAATATAAAAATTAATTTTTAAAAATTTTTATAAAAATTAAACAGAAATCAAATGCCGATCCGTATGAAGCGTTTTACGCATTGAAATACATGGACGCAGTCATCGACGAAACCCTACGGCTATACACAGCCGTCATATTTCACGAGAGGGTCGCCAATGAGGACTACGAGCTTAAGGGCACCGGTATTACCATCAAAAAAGATCAAGTGGTGCACATACCGATCTATGCCATTCATAGAGACCCGGAGCACTTTGCCGATCCGGAAGTGTTTAGACCGGAAAGGTTTTTGACGGAAAATATAGCCCACAATCCCTATACGTATTTGCCATTTGGTGCCGGCCCTCGAAACTGTCTGGGCATGCGATTGGCTCAGTTGGAGATTAAATTAGCCCTGTTCAATCTTGTTCATCGATATGTTTTTCATGCAACAGAGGTATTATATTTTACATTTATATACAGTTTTATAAATAGTTTTCTTTAATTCTTGGCAATTGACAATGTTTATATTTTCAGAAACCATTGGAGCAAGGTGTTACCGGTTTTTTAATTATACCAAAATCAGTGGATTTGAGAATTGAGAAGCGAACATAATTTGTAAAATGATCATATTGATTTTAATTAATTATTTGTAAATATTTTCAAAACTTATTTGAAATAAATTTTAGACCAATACAACTGACTTTTTAATTATAATTTTGAGCTCAAATTATAATTAATAAACTAAAACTGCTTTAATTATAATATATTTGAACATTTTAAAAAATTAATAATAAAAAATTAATTATGTTTGCGTATGTTTACATAATTTTAAATTGCAAATTAATTTTTATTCATTAATCTCTCTTAATAATTTTAAAATTACTTACATTAATAAATTTTATAATATGGATGTCAAGTTAATCCAATTAATGGCTATTATTTATTTAGATTAATCTATAAAGCGATGGAAAAAGTGGTAACAAATGTCGCCTTCAAAGTATCATTCAGTTTGTGGACTAAAGTGACTCTATTGACGGAATCGCCCCAAACGTCACGTAATATAGTGTCCTCTCTATCGATATCTGTCTTATCGAAGACCACATCAAATAGATTTGAGTCATATTTCATGGAAAGGCTGTTGTCTTTGTCCACAAACTGTACGCCAGAGCTACTCATCTGAGTCTTCAAATGACTGATGAAATGCACTTTCAGTGGACTCAACCACTTCTTCAGCTCGTAGTCATCCGTAACCGTAATTGTGTTGAGTTTGTGATTGAATTCAATGTTTCGCACATAACTCTTGACGTCCGCCTCCTTAGGGTAGGCGCCGGCTATATCTGCGCTAAACTTAATGGTGTCTTCAGTGGATGAATAGCTCACACCTGAGGCCTCGTACTTATTGCCATGATTTTGCTGAATGCCATTAATGGTGGGACAGTTGTGCCACTGGCTCTGCATCGACCATATCTTATACCTGTCTTTACTGAATGTCTCGTTATTATAGACACCGACCCCGACATCGATTATGAATGGCTTTCCGTTAGCGTATATAATGTAGTTCCCGACGTCGTTGTGGTTATGGCTCTCGTGATTAGTGCCCGCTTTGCCCGCAATGAACAGTCCTTTTGTCGATCCTTTCGCACAAAATTCAATGATTATTAGAGTCGACGAAAAATGGATTCAATTAAATACCGGCTTCTGTTCGGGCGGTGAAGACCTGGAGGTCTTTGAAGTAGAAATTCTGTGGTAACGGAGCCTTGGGTTCGATGTCTTTGATCTGCGAATACGTCAATAGAGTGGACACAAACACAGACAGACTGCCCAAGAAGTCGGCCGCCGTTTTGATGGACTCGTAGTTATATCGTTGGCCCACATATGATGAGAAGTGTTTGAGTGTCGTGTCGTTGAAGGTGTGGCCAAACTTATAGACGGCCGACGCCTCCACCGCTAACTTGGCCTGGGCGTCCGCAAAGTTGACATACCTGTCCTCTGAGATGTGCACTTTGTATATAAACGTCCCGATCTTATCGAGCAGTTCATTGGCCGACCAATTGATCCTTCCGGCGGACACTGTTGTCATGAGCTCGAGGTAGTCGATGAGTCGACCCCCAGCCCAACCCCAATACGTCGGCCCCTCATCGCAACCGCCGTCAGTCGGGTACTGATTGATGAATATATCGATACTTTTGATACTTCTGTTCACCACTTCATGTAAAGATGTCTCGTCTTCGACGCCTAATAGGGCTGTCCTTAAGATGTTTGAGTTGTCCCAAGAGTTGTGATTATTAACTCTCTTTCCATTAAAGCCTAACCAAAAGTAGTCGTCGTAATTGAGATAAGGCAATACCACACGTCTGGTCAGTTCATAGTTGATCCGTTTGACAAACATCTTGTTCACTTTATCCAACTCATCCCTTAACAATAGTTTTATGATGGAAACAGTGGCCGCCATTTCCCCGACTCGCAGATCAATTATATTCTGATCGGGGTCTGGAAGTCCCGGACCTGTAGTCAATATATTGTCGCATCAATATTGGTAACATTTATATCTAAACAATTCATATCATATGTAATATACTGTATTCCATATGACTATTATTTTAATCTGAATATCATTACGTGAATAATAAGTTTGAGTCATACGTATAAATCATTCACATACATGCGTTAGAGCTTGGTCAACATATTAGTAATGTAAGTTATACTTTCATATAAACTTATGGAGAATAACGCATGAATCAATTTTTATTTAAAATCACTAACGCCTGTCTGCGAATGACTTAATCATATTTAAAACTAATGAGAATTCTTGCACATGTTACTTTTATAGACACATAGTTTTTAGCTTATTGTCCAAAAACAAAGTATTTACAAATATAAATGATAATTAGTGGCAATGAATAACAGCTTTTCATCTATAAATTGCAAACAAATACAGGGGATGTATGTCTGACCGGCTTTCTGAATGCTCATATGTCCGGGTGTTTCCCAACTGCTCTCTTCCATTATAAGCCACAAACCGTCGCCTATATTCTTCATATAAGTGCCATTCCTAGTGAGGAGTTCCCCGATAACCAGATTCACTAAATGCACTCTTCTATTAGTATCTGTGGTCTCGAAGTGCACTCTATTGCCGGTCGTCACGAACTCCAGATATTGAGATGCCTGTCCACAATGCAATCATCACTTAGTATTTGTTATACATTTCAATAATGACTGTACGCTTAAAATGTATACCAATTTTGAAATCCATGGCTCTTTGTTAGACTTATCGGCCTTTGCGATGAAATACTCCTTTAACTGATCCGGCAATTCATCCAAACTCTTAAATATGGAGTTCTTGTAATTCTCGCGAAACTTATTTATGTCTTCAAATGCATTAAAACCGCCGGCGCTTTCAAATGCATTGTAGACATAATTCCTACTTTCATCGCATTTTACAAACAAATTGTTTAAAACACAATGTGTTAAACAAATAGTAAATATAATTTTGAACATAACTTTTGATATTTAGATTGTCCTTCAAATTGAGTGTCTTTAAGTGAGAAAATAATTTCCTTTTATATGAAAAACATTTAGTTTTGATGCAACAGGAGGTGTGGTTATTCCCATCACAGTGTACCACACGGGGAGATATCAACCAATTTTACAGTGGGTTTGCGTTTGAAGTGAATTTTGTGTACGAATTCAATCAATACGAGTGTATTGGAGATCAGCATTGATTGCAATGCATTACACGTCATAATCAATGAATTGAACTCAATATTCATATCTGTGTTCTCATATGAATCGGAGTATAAGACAAACAAATTGAATCTATTTCTACCGATAAAGAAAGTGTACCTTGAAGGATATGTCAAATTCGTATTACCATTCGTTAGGCAAGGGATATAAATGTATAAACTAATACTATTACGTCTACAAATACATTTTGTACCGGAATTGCAATTTATCGCATTTAGAAAAATACAATAATCCGTATAAATTGAGTGATACTACTAATTAATTGTAAATTTCATAATTGTCTGTTATCTTCGAACCGAACTTGCACTATTACTTGCACTATACGGTACACAGTGTACAGTATGCACTACAGTATATTGTACAGGACATCTAAATATTTATTACCCAATAGTGTATTAGATAAAATTCAATAAGTATTTTGGCATAGGACGAGATGGCGTTGGAACTGACCTAGGAAAAAGGCATTTATTGGAATTTACTTTAAAGTTAGTAGACAATTATCAGATTATAAAGTGAGCAATTTTAATCAAATTTAGTATTTTAATATGGCCATACTTTTAGAAAACAATAATATTGTTAAAAGTTGACTAATTCAAATATAATTTATATGAGCAAACACTTTTGTAGATTCTACTAGATATTATGTACCATAAAATTCATTATTAATTATAAACAAATAAAAGATTTGTTGTAAATGTAAATTGAACCCAAATATTTATTAGGAAAAACTCCTATTTGTTTTAAAACTATTAGTTAAAACTGAAGTCTCAAGTCTGGCAGTTTGGTAACCACAGAGGTATGACATGACCTCCGATAGAAACAGAGGTGACATTCTGTCCGACACTCTCGACAATACCGGAGCCCTCGTATCCCAGAATTAATGGGAATATAAAATCTTTAGATATGTTTGACTCGATTACATGAAGATCTGTACGACATATACCAGTGCTTATAATCTTAATCCGGATTTCATTAGCTTTTGGCGGATCGACTTATATATCCTCCACCACTAGTGGCTGATGGAGACCATAGGCTACGACTGCCCGACATTGGATTCGCTGACCGATTGTAGACATGAATTAATTTGTGAAATAATGAGTGATTTGACAAAATTAATTTAAATGGACTGCGATTTCAATATAAATAGGCATTTATTGGCCTTCAATGCATTATTTCCCAATTTATATATAGTTTTTAATACCGTATAAATTAAACAAAATATTAATTTAAGTAACATACAAAACAAACAAATATTAATTGATGAAAGTTACAAATAAATTCATTTATTGAAAAATACAAGATTAGTATTGTTTAGATACCAAAGCATGAAAATGTGTTTAAATTATGATTAGACATCAAAACTTTAATAGTCGCTAATTACAAATCACATCCTATTTTTCATTATATCTAGTGTTATAATATAACATAACATATTATATTAAACTCATTAACCATTGAATGCAAACCAAATTAATTGATTTTAGTATTAATTGCTTGTTTTCAATCTTTTGAGCGAAAAGATTAATTATAATTTGTATGTAAAAAGTGAATTTACAAATCTTTTATTTGTTTATAATGAATAATGAATTTTATGGTACATAATATCTAGTATAATCTACAAAAGTGTTTGCTCATATAAATTACATTTGAATTAGTCAACTTTTTACAATATTGTTTTCTAAAATTATGGCCATATTAGAATACTAAATTTGATTAAAATTGCTCACTTTATAATCTGATAAAAACTTTACCGTAAATTCCAATAAATTCCTTTTGCCTAGGTCAGTTCCTACGCCATCTCGTCCCATGCCAAAATACTTATTGAATTTTATCTAATACACTATTTGGGTAATCGATATTTAGATGTCCTGTACAATATACTGTAGTGCATACTGTACACTGTGTACCGTATAGTGCAAGTAATAGTGCAAGTTCAGTTCGAAGATAACAGACAATTATGAAAACTACAATTAATTTGTAGTATCACTCAATTTATACGGATTATTGTATTTTTCTAAATGTGATAAATTGCAACCGGGCATTGACGAAGTTTTTAAGTCAAACCCCACAATTGGATATTATCAAATCAACCAAGAGTATATAAAGAATTATTTTAAGCTGAAATAACTTATAAAATATTTTTAGAAAAACTTGTAAACATATTCTAGAAGTAAATTACTATATTAAATATTAATAATGTATATTCACACATTGATACTAGCCACATTAATTCACGCTACTATATCGCACAATTTGAACATGAAACCCTCTATGGATCACCACAAAATGAACGTGGTTCACCATGCTCAAATTTCCAACGCGGTAAAAAATGAACAAAACTATTATAAACTAACTATTAATTAACTTTAATAAAATTTCTACACAGGGCAAAGTTATCATACGATCAATTAAGTTAGCTCGCGAGTCAACACCGACAAAAGTGTCCAACAACCATTGGGACCCGGCTACTCTCACCGGAAACGTGACCCAGATTGTTCAATTGTTTGCCAAACTCACGGCTCACTTTAAGTATGATAAATGTCTGACCATTTCGGAGGACGATTATGGTCGCGATTTCGACGACAACTGTTACGCAACAATCGCGTCCAACATTAGAGACATGGCGGTGCCCGATCATGTGGTGGCCATATTTCAAAAGGCCTACGGCATTACAGCTTACAGTATGGCTAACACGGCGTTCGAATTCATTTTGGGTCCCCTTTACATAGGTGTTTTTAAATCAAACTAGTTAATTATTTGTAGAAATCTGTTTATTTTATAATCTGAATAGGGCAATTAGGGTTAGTTAAGTGAAACGTACATATTTTAATATACTGTATATGAAGGGATTAAGTAAGCGACGTAAGTCAAATTTTTCGTGAAAATGTGTGAACTTATTTAATAAGTGACTCGGTTATATTTCTGATTATAAAATAAAATATGATATAAACAATTACTTTATATTGGTTATTTTTATTCAATATAAATTTTTATATATATATCTGTTATCGGAATTTAAAAGCGACGTAAGTCAAATTTTTCGTGAAAATGTGTGAACTTATTTAATAAGTGACTCGGTTATATTTCTGATTATAAAATAAAATATGATATAAACAATTACTTTATATTGGTTATTTTTATTCAAT